ACACGAAAGGAAAGCAATGGCCATTTGGAAGGGGAATCCACAATGTAGACCAGATTCAGCTGCTGGCCGTGCTGAAGTGTTTGTTCTTTGCCGCATGGGGAAATGGAACCAAAGAGGTTGCAACGGGGCATCCCAGTTTTGCTCTCGCTAGGCCGTGTCAAAGCTAGGACGTGGCTTGAATTAGGCCAAAAGAAACAGCACGGCGTGGAGGGTTCGAAATGACCTAAATGAGGCGCGCGTGGGGATCCCTCACGTTTTGCGAGGTGGGTGGGTGACCAATCAATCAAGCAGATGACATGTTGTTCGCAAGCCACGTCACGAGGATGACAAGGGAAGCCAAAATGAGAGCCACCATTCTGGAGGACCCCATGTTTTGACACATACCCAGATGGAGCAAACTGTACTGTACCATGGTCAAGACATTAGTACTTGGACTTGACAAAGATGGTCATTACCTCTTTAACCAGAAATAGAGAAAGCCATAGCAAAGTGTTCTATCTGGGGACTCATGACCCTGACTGACCCATGCATTTCCACATTTGAGTCAGAGAAGTGGTTGGCGTGGCCATGGGACAGGTCAACAACACTCCGCCTATGGTGCCATCCCCATCCTCGGATGCATACAAGGCTGAGTTTGCTTTGGGATTGTCCTAAAAATAAAACAGCCACGCAATTTGTTTCGGTGTCCTAAATTGAAGCACCATCTTGTGGAGGGGGAGCCAAGGGAAGAAGCCAACCTTCTTTCGGGGGTTTGGGAAGCACCCAGCCAGTACCCAGCCAGTTCGTCATTTGCCAGATGCATCTTGGCAGAAGGTCCCTGACAGCCGCCTGCACTCAAATCCAGGAGTCCAAATGGAGCCTTCTGTATGGGGATGACGATCATCCACTGGCGATATAGTCAGCGACTGAGGTTTCGCCTTGTTTGATGGGGACACTCAAAGTGGACATACATCGCCATGTCAATGTAAACGATGTCCACAAGGTCCAACCAATTAGAACCCAAGTTTGCAGGTGGTTCTACCAATTGCCTGGTTTTATGAAGGTGGTTTAATCAGGGTTAGTTATACGTAGTATGGCCTATTCTTTATAGCCATCTTAACTAGAACCAAAAGTCTTATGGGGTTTGGGCGCGCTGTCAGAGCCTTTGGCCGAGGTGTACGAGATTCAATTCATTTATCTCATCGACTTTTTACCATGCAAGCCTGTGCCCCAGATGCGTGCATGCGACCAGCCTGTAATCAGGGGCTCCAAAGTAACTGCAGCGCGTGATAGGACAGTCGCTCGGCACAGCTTGGCGCTTTGGCTTGCCACTTTGGCATTCCAACATCAGCTGTCGCGCCTGCATTCCTCTTGGACTCGTGAGCCAGAGATCATTGCGAGTTAAACAAAACCTGTCCTTCTGGGGAAAGGGAGAACTCAAAGCTGGAAGGTCCATTCCAAGCGCGTTTTGACGTGAGCCCATGCAACCCCGCTCCATTTTTGGCGCTCCCGCAGCGTACACCAAGGGCCAATGCTTACATCTGCTGCTGTTCTAGCAGTTGCGCACGCCTTAGCATGGACAGCCAGCATTGCACTTGGCTCCGGATTGCCCGTCCTCAGGTTGAGATCAAATCGAATTTGAAATCGAGGAGCATTCGATCCGCTTTGGCAAATGCGCATTGAAATCTCTGCCAGGAAGCCAGTGTGCTGCCAGGCTGTTGGCAACTGCCGATGGACCCTGTGAGCGGGGCCACACTGCAAAGCTCAAGTTTCAGCCGTTGCCTTGTAGGTTGCCTCAATTGAGATGCATGCAGTCGGTGCGTCTTGCTCATCTCTGACATTTAGTGCAAAGGTGTGTCTTGCTATGCTTTGCCAGGTGTTTCTCTTGATGTTTGCTTTGCTGAACATGACGCTGTGTTCACGTTGACTTGAGCACTGCAAAGAGCCAATTCAGTGCATCGTCAAATGTCTTTGGCCAACGCTGGTGTCCACGCATTCGACGCAACGTCAGATGCAACGCACGACACCGCATGCGTAGAACACAGTTGGATGCCATTCCCGGCTTTCCATATCGTTCGCGGAGACAAAACTTGAGTTGTCGAAGTCATGAGGCATGAAGTTTATGATACGTACTCGATACATCCAGTCCAAGAATGAGTCCAAGCCTTCTTCATCCTTCTTCCATTTGGGGTCCGTGTAAGATTTCTGCCAAGAACAATAGCCTTCAGCGCAGCCAGCCGGATTTTGCCAGCAGAACTGCATATCTTTCAGCGACGAGACATGGCCCGGAAGGCGGGGGAAGGGATGGGGAAGGGACATGACATCCAGTGTCTATCACGGACAAGGAGCATGTGTAGTTTGTGCATTTTGCCATCTTGTTTGCAGAGGCTGGGCCTTTGTACATAGTCCAGGCCTTGGAGACTCGAGACAACTGTTTCTGGGAAGCCAGCAACCCATCCAAAGACACGGATGTTTGGTCTGTTTTTTTTGTTTTGTTTTTTTTTGTTCCCGGTTTCCCATGGGAACAGGGAATCAAGGACAACCACACACTGGTTGTATAGAAACATCAGGTACCCGTGCACACCGTCTGGGGAGGGCAAGTTTAAACTCGAAAGAAGTTCCTTTTGGTTTGCCTTCAGAGGGATCAACCAACGGCCCATAGTGTCAACGTATTTCAAGGGATTGGCCTGTGGCCTCTCTGAGGTGGAGCACCTTGAAGAGGGTTTGGGTGAGTGGTGCCGCCTGAGCCTCGATGTCCCGTGCACGGGGCCGGTCAGTGACGCCATTGGATGTGATTTGCTTGTGGAAGTGTGCCAAAAAGGATGGACACGGGTTGATTTTGGTATCGTTTGAGACGTCCCCATGGGATCCGTTCCCCGAAACAAAGATCTTCCCACGCACTTTTGAGCGTTTGGCTTCGCCTATCAAGAAAACCCAGGCTTTCGTAAGGCTCACTCGGATGCAAGGTCTGTATTCCTGGAAAGGACCCTTATGGTTCGGCAAATCTGCATCCTGGCAAAGAAACATACAAACTCGTCCCTCTCTCAATGAGTGCCCTTAGGCCTGGTTTGTTCCGTGACAAACTCTGAGGCCTTAAGGCCTTACTTCAGGAGATCAGCTTACGTCAGTGCTGCAAGGCTTGGAGTATAAGCACATGGCGTCCTTCGTGCAAGCCTGAGTCAAGGGGTGCCAGTGGCAATCTGGTGGCCTGCGTCGAAGGGATCTACCCCTTAAAATTGGTGACGCTCAATTTGCTTGTTCGGTTGCGTGATACACGTATCAAGTAAGAGAGCGGTGAAGACTTTGATTCCTATAATATTGGGCATCATCGGTTTGTGTTGGCCTTGCACTGCCTTTGATGAGGCATTGCGGCGTTGTCGTGTGTGTGTGTGTGGGTAAACTGGGAATGTCTAGCTTATTGGGAATCCAATTCCCCTTGCTTGACCGCTTTCCTTGAGGATGCAGTGGTAACATGTGGTAACCAGGGAAACAAAATGGTCACCCAGCTATTTGTGGGGGGAGTTGGATGTGAAGCCCCCAAGTCTTGTGTGGACATGGCAGAGATGCGCAGCCGTTCTCGCTCTGCGGCCACAACAGTCTGGCCAGCACACTAGACTCCTCAAAGGCATTGGTGAGCCGTGCGTGGTTGACACACCTCATTCTGCGAAAGGTTCCAGTCGAGACGCGTGTTTGTGTGTTTGTTGCTTCTCCGATTCTCCACGTCACGGCACACCGACTTCATTTCACTTCCTTGCCCTCCTGCGCCGAAAAATCCAAAAAACGTAAAAATTCCAAAAACTCGTAAATCACATAAATAGGAAGGGAATGTGCCAGAGAGCCTTGGATCTGCAAGAAGTTATCGCAGTCATGGGTTTTGCAGCTTTCGGATGGCTTCTGGGCTGAAAAGTCGATAGTCTTTTTCCGAGCCAAGGATAGTTGGAAGACTCCATGCGCCGATGTTTGGAAGGCCGATACAAGGAAAGGAGTCGCTCGCCACCCTCCAACCGAGAGGCGCGTGATTGGGGCCCCGTTCTCTTGGGGTTACCCCGTTGGGAAGATCATAATTGTTCGCTGCAAAAGAGGCCTGCCCATTTGTTGAACTCCCAAGTGCTGAAAGTGCTGCTCGCACGCCGAGCGACGTTGCCAGGGCATGACATGCGGCAAAAACTTGAGTCGGAAGCTCAGTGCCAGTATATATATATATATATATATTTCGGAAACGCTTATTTGGGTAAAGCGAACCCTTAAAGGAAGCCTCAAACTGTGGCAAACCCGTGTGTTTAGGCATCCGCACGAGCCTAGGTGAAATGAGCCGCACGTGGGAGCCAGAGCTTCATATGCTCTATGTAGCTTGCCTGCAAACATGACATGCATCGCGCCAGTCTGTTTCTTGATATGCGACGGCAATGTATGAGTATAAACACGGGTTCTAGTCAATGGGCTCCAGCGAGCACCAAATCACCAATTATGTGTGTAGCATCCGAAAGAACCTATTTGTTAGAACCCGTTCAACAGGTCGCCCCAACATCGAGACATATTTCCACAAAGAAAAGGCCATCATTCGGCTCATGAGCGGCACGGCTGTTCTGCGGACTGAGGCTTCACCTTTGGACCAGCGAATGCCACAGATCAATATTCATGGAGAGCCATGGATGCGATTCGGAACGAGCGCGGAGTCGAGCAAGAAAGAACTTGCAGACAGAAAGACACCTAAGGAAGTGGAGCTTTTGCAGGAGTCTCTCCGAAAAGCCAATTGCCATATGAGCTGGGCTTAGTTTTTTGCTGATTGAGTCGTCACGCGGATGGTGCGCAGCCCTTGAGTGTAACCTGTATACAGTACATGTGACGATTGCTTGGAGATCTTGAGGTGGTCATGTAGGTTGATTGTTGATCAGTATCTGGCAAATGGAAGCTGCAAGCTGGCAGACCGAGGAACATTTATGTGGGTGCCGCTACGACAAAGACGTTCGCACAATTGCTCACGCTTGCACAGTCTGGGGGAAGCATTATTCTTCATTTGTCTGTGCACGTCGTGTGCTCAGTTGTGGCCAGCTGTGCCAGCCAGTTCTTGCTTGTGCATCCCGACTCCTGCACTTTGATATAATTGTTCTTTATCAGAGCCTTCCAAGTGAATGAGTGATGTACTGGCCTTGATAAGACCTTTGGGAAGCTTACCTCGGCTGCCCTTGTTAGGGTGCAGGTCACTCGAATCATTCACTGTGTTTTTCTCCGATTGTTTGGTCATTGCGCCTTAAAATGTGGGTCCCCCCCCCAAGCAGAAACTGGCCAGGATACGCAAGACTCTCGTCTCGAGGTGGTAACTTCGGAGGGTGATGTGGGCATTGTGTTCGAGAACGGCTTCGGAGGGGCACACATCCTCTACCAAAAGGATCTGGAAGATTTGCTCAACGACCGGCCCCCTGGCTAACCCATCTCGCATTTGAGATGCTGTGACTCAAGAAGAGCTGTGAGGATCCCAGTTATCATAGCAGGTAACCAACCATTTTCCTTTTTGTGCTTAAAGGGTGATTTTCTTGGTTACTGAGCATACTAGGACATGGAATCTCTTGGTAAGGTAATTATCTCCGACCCAGCTTCTAGAAAGAAAGCCAACTAAATGCCCTTACTCTTGAGCCACACCCAGATTTGGGGGGTGTCTATATTTTTTTGGGGGAGAAAGAGCCCCTCGCTGGTTCAAAGGGAAGACCGATAAAACTGCAGCTATTTTACAGGGTCCATCACATTTTAGGACAAGTCCGGCTGGTAGCTGCAAAGGCGAGCACGGCAAGGGTTCCTTCAGGTGTCCTTCAATTTTTAAATGGGTGAAGAGTCCTGGGCCTGCACGCCAGAAGATGCAGAAGTTGCACACACAACATCATGGCCAAAATTTGTTTCTCGCTTTTCTGTGTCGTGAATCATAACCTATGCGTGTGTTTGTTTGCTGAGGCAGCTGAATGGTCTATCCTTTGTCTTCATCAATGGATGCTGCTCTGTGGCTTGGCGAAACGAAGCCAGGGATATGCTCACGCTGCACATTCAACAGGGAGCAGGGAATTCTGGCGCAGTCCTTCCAGTAGTCAATCAAGTTTGTGTGGAAAACCAGGTGCATATGCTCCTGCGGCTGAATTACATCTGTGTGTGTGTGTCTCGTTTGAGGGAACAAATGAAACACCCACCATGCGTTGGGGCGCATTTTGACACTCATGGCTCTCTGGTCGCAGTGGCTAGGAGAGCATCGCCGCGCTTCTGGTAGAAGCCGGATGCAATTTGGTGATTGCAACCCGCGGCATCTCGGAGCATCTGAGGGCTTTGACTCAATCGGTTCAGTCGCAAATGGTTGATTTCCTTCAGTTGTTTTGCAAGAGGCCCGCAATTTTGATGGGGCAGTTCCTTTTGATGCTGAGAGGGAAGCCAAATGGAAACCAACCAACTGCAGGGTCGTTGCCCAGTCTCAAGAACAACTCACTCAGTCAGCGTTTCGTGCTGAGGTAAAGTCTATGATGCTGCTGCCAGTCCCCAAGAGGGCCGGCCAATGCTCAGGGTATTCGGGTGGGGCCTATTGGGTGGGGTTTGTTCCTCTTAACTCGGTGCAGGAATGCACCCCCCTTTTGACCCTGAAAGGGTTCAGGGGTGTGACCCAAAATAGGCGTCCCCTTGTTGGATTTTTTCAAATGAAACCTAAAAGAATCTAGCCACCTGAAGGGGTTTGTAGTTTTGAGAAACACCCGCATGCGATTCGCACGCCACAGTTTTCAAACGTGTATTGGCGCTTTGATTCCCCGCTTTTCCAAGGCGACCGTTTTCACACAGCAGCGGCTTGTCGCAATTATTCGCACAAACTATATGAATGTGGTGGTTTCAGAGAAGCTTTGGCAGGTTTGGGTTGGTTCCAAGATTCGACTTTTTCATAGCCCCCCTTTTTCAGCCAAGCACTGGTTGCGCAAGGGTTTCTTTTGAGTGTTTCTCAAAGTAGTGGTCTCTCTTTGAACAAAATGAGTGGTTTTCCCTGTTTGCTGTCCTTTAAACTTTAAGCCATCAAACTGGGGGTTTCTTTGTTGGAAACCCTCATCTGGTGTCGTTGCTGCAGGTTCTACTACGCGCTTGGCTCGCAAGTCTCCGTGCGGTCAGCCTTCGAGAGCGCACAGCAAGTCCTGAGGGTCGACCCCGATGCCAAGGCGAGTTCCACGTTTGGGTTGCGTTTTGGTGTGAATTTGGGACAGAAGTTGCCCAACCCTGGTTCTGGGTTCTGTTGCCTGGCATATTGATTTGCTGAAATCAGGGATTCATGTCCACCAGCATCACTTGTGAGGCGGTTCCGACTTTTAAACGTACTAGCATTTATAGCGGTGTAACTTGGGATTCGTCCGGAGGATCATGCTCATCGTGGGTTCCCCGATGAAATTGAAAAGAAGTTGATTTTATGTTATGGGAGCTTCTCCAACTAGTAGAGTCCCTCAGAGTAATCCGAAGTTCGTGCTCCTCAGGGGAAGGATTTCTATCTGGTGTTCTTTTGGGTTTAGGGCAATGCCCCCAGTGTTGGTTGCCCCCGTATTGAGTCTACCTTGGGCGAAGTCAAAACATGAAACCCAGCTTTGGACTGTGCAGCCCGCTCCTTTGGGGTGGGGGTGGGGGTGGAGCAGGGCAGGGCGGACCAAGGACCCAAGGACGCGTGTACGGTGTCATTCTCGCATTCCCGGCATTCCCTCAAAAGCCAGGAAAGGGCTGCCAAAAGTGCCCCAAAAGGTTCGTCAAGGCAGATACCTCTAAAAAGGAGTTTTTGTTCGTGTTCCATGTTGAGAGGGGGAGTACTTTGCTCGTGTTACCCTGCATTGAGCCGATCGATCCCCTGCCAGGTCAAGGCCAGTGCAGCTGCTCGGCGCAGTCGTCAGGTGCTTTGTTTTGCCCACGAAAAGAAAAGGGTTCGCACCTACAGTTGGATGAAAGCAGGTAGCACAATTTCACCTCATTTTGGTTTAGTCATCCTCTTTCTTCTCCACACAAAGGGAAGTGCCATCTACTTGCACCCTGGTGTAGCCATGTGCAACGTTTGCTTTACTCCACTTATTTGCCGGGAGGATCCCTGTCTTGGTTTCCTTGTTTGGAGGCCAAAGTTTATTGAGCGGTTTTAGCAGTGATATTTGAGGTACGTCTAGAAAACTCTGCAAGAACCAAGCCTTATGCCCTGTGCAACGTGGTCCCGCAGAGCGTATGGTGGACACTTGTTTCCGTGGGATGCTTGCAAGAACGGAGGCGAGCTTTTTGCAGCAGACATGGCTGAGGACATGTTCGTCCTTTTTGGCCAACATGCTGCCCGCTCTCATACATTGATTCATAGACCACCCGTGGACGCTGTGAACCGCCACTGATGCTGCACCTAGGGCCTGGCGAATGCATTGCGGGTTCCTCTCTTTTTTTTTCTTTTTTTTTGGGGGGGGGGATTTTGCAAAATATACACCCCTGACCTTTCCTTGAGGTCAGTGTGCCTTGCAGATCGAAAACTCGGAGTTCTGCAATGCAGCGGCGCCATGTTTGCACAGCCCAACTTTTAGTTTCTGGGCAGTTTTGGAGCATAGGTCTGCTTTTAGGTCAGCTTGGCTGAAGATAGATGGCACTGGTGTCACTTTGGTTCTCATTTACCAGTGCCATCCTTTCCAAAACGGACACGTAGGCTATGGTTCTGCGCAGCGAGGCTTACCTGCCACCCCGCGTAGAGGATTACATCGACAGAAGCTCAGCCCGTGGCTCAAGAATCTCAGGCTTTGCGCTGTGGGGTGCTGGGAATGACCTAGCTGGGTGTTGTGAATGGTTCGGAAGGGATCCCCTTTAGGGAAACCGTAGAACATGTTTTGGTTTCTTCTTTGTTTTTTTCTTGGGGTCATTCCTTCATAACCAGTAAGTTCATCAACTGTTGATTGATGAACATCACAGGCGTTTCATGTTCGAGAGGATCCGGATCACTATTGCTTGGCATACACCCACACACACACACACAAACACTGCTGTTCCACGTGAATTCATCCGGGCTCAACTGGCTCAACCTCAGGTTTTATGCGATATTCTGCGGAACTTTGATGCCAGCAGCGGCGGCTCGGCTGTTTTTTCTCATCCGGCTGGGCCGGCGCCAAAGGCCGCTGTTTGGACCCTGGCACCACCTTTTGCCACACCCAAAGAGCGGTCCTTAATTTTGATAGCTCCATAGTGGCAGTCTTTCATTCGGCATGTCTCTGCTCGCCCTTTGCCTCATATGCCTCACAAACAGGTTGGGCACATTCGCAAACAATTTGGAGTGAGTTTGGCAAGCTGATTGTGACATATCAAAGGCCAGCCAGCGCGGAGGGCTTGCGTGCTCTCTGGTCCGGAAGGCATTGGGAAAACTGTCACTGCGCCTTGGCCGCTGAGATCGCCGAGTTTGGTCGAAAATCGATGTGTGTGTGTGTCATAGGGCAACACCCCATGAAGGTGGCTTTCCTTTTGGTTCACCCCACCAGTGCCTGAACCCGTGTCAGGTTGACACTTGCACCTATCAGTTTTGGTTCCCTTCAAAGCAAGCTTGGTTTCACTTTGGTTCGAATCAGTTAACAGTGCCATGATTCTTTGCAGAACGGACACCCAAGGCGAAGAGCATTGATCACGCTGTGGATGGCAGTAGATGCATATTATCAAAAAGGATTCCTCGCTGTTCGCTGTTGGTGGCCATTTGACTATTGTGCCCAAACAGGGCCCGACTTGTGACACACAGCCACATGGCCAGATGGGTGGGTATCAACAAAATGTTGGCCAAAACGATACGTGGACCGCAAAAAACGATTTCGGCTTGCCGTACCGAGGCTATTGCTCTGGCCCACTTCGCCTCTTCACCTGGCCGGTTGTTTTCCAGGACACACGGGCACGTATGGAAATCAATATTATATTCACGCTCCGCGCACCGGCCTCTCGTGCCAGGGAAAATCCTTTAGGAAAAGCCGAGCCATGCGCGATGGATGGTGGATGGCTGGATGGATGGATGGATGGATGGATGGATGGATGGGTGTACGGATGGGTGGATGGGTGTACGGGTGGATGGGTGTACGGGTGGATGGGTGGATGGGTGGATGGGTGGATGGGTGGATGGGTGGATGGATGGATGGGTGGATGGGTGGATGGATGGATTGATGGATGGATGGCGCTGCAAAGAAAATTAGCCTGGTGAAGCTAAGGACGTTGCAGGTGATGATGAGGATGAGGATGACCACCACGATGATAACAACTGCCCATGACCATTATGATGATTCATAGCATGGGTTGAAGTACAATCATGATGATAACCATCATCATACCATCCTTTGCATTACTATCAAGATGATGAAACCTATCACATAGCATCCTTGGCATTGCCATCAGTGTCTAACGTCATCATGATGATAACTATCATAGCACCCTTTGCCTCTTGGGCGAGGGGTCGGCAGATTATTGGTCCATGTCCACACACAGCAGGGGCTCACAAAACGTCCCATGTTCCATTAGGGAAGCAAGTGATTTTGGCCCTGGATCGAAATGTGTGTGTGTGTGTTTGCCATGCTTCAAAGGAATGGCTTACAGAATCTTCAGTGAAACAAGCGGCAGGTTTGTCCAGACTGAGAGCCTTTGTGAGAGGTGGATACAATACCCGACTTGCTTGGAGCCTAAATACGGATAGTCCTGCAGAACTACAAACAACCTACAGTTAGATATAATTGACAGCAAGAAGGGTGCATGGACACTTCAAGCCTTGCAGGAATGTCGTGTTTGTCAACCTTGACGGCAAGCCGGACTTAGCATCTGTGGTGCAAGGCCACATCCTCGTGCGAGTCGCATGCACTTGATTCCACTGAACATGTGTGTCAATTTGCCAATAGTACAAGGCTGGATTTGAGAGGGTTTCTAGTTTAACACAGCAAAACATGGGAATGTCTCCAAAAAAATAGGAATCTTTAAAATGGTTGGTGTCTCTTGGCATTCCCTTTCAAACAGTCCAACAAGGGGGACCCGTATTTTCAGAAAGACATCCCTCTCTGTTGTCCGTCGTTCGCATTGGTGTCCAGCCCTGCCAGCCATCCGCGGACACGCCGAAGCCGAGAACGAAAGTCCACTGGCTACGCCGAACCCCTCAATCAACCCCAACCCAAATAACCCCAACCTTAGCCATTCTTGAACCAACAACAAACAATTTCCAAGGCAACACTAAAGCCGCAACTTGACAGTGTTTTGCACTTGGAGCCCTGGCCGAACGAAACATCAATCACGAAGCCCAACAATACATCCCACCAGAACTTGCAATCACTATGGTAAGCTCAAGCATCAGCACACACAGAGGCAGAGACTCGAATACAAACACCTGCACAGACACAACTCCTCAACCAACCCCACGCCCACCTCTCACCCAGAAACCCTAAACTCTTCCTACGTGGATATTGAAGCCTACCTCAGAAACTCAAAAGCCCAACCAGAGTCAACCTCTCAACCTCAAGCTTACCCTCACTCAACCCCAAGACGATGATTCTCGCCCACAACACTGAAGGACAGTTGTTTCAGTTTGCATAGTTGTTCCCCTTCGAAACAAACACACAACATAAACACGCACGCTTTTCAAGAGGACAAACCAAGGATTTTGTCGGAAAACAACTTGGTCGCAGAAGGATTCCCCCCCCCCCCCCCCGCGAGCCCAAGAAGGGGGCAACGAGTGCTCTGGGCAAATGTGTCAAAAACCAGCCCTATCCATGGTTCAACCAATTCTAAACCACTATAAATCAACACTGCCACCAATGCGCAATTATTTTACCCCCCCGACAACCCAAGGCCAAAGCCCATCCTCAGCTTCTGAACCAACCCCGAAGCCAAGAAGTTGCAACAAGCAAACCCAACCCTTGACCTAGCCCCATTTCCCAGGCACCGAAGTTTGCCCTCCACTAGCTTCATGTCAAAGCTATCCGGCCCGAAGCCATAAGTTCTAAAGAGAGACAGATCCACCTATGTTTCAGAGCATCCGGTTCTAGGAATGCGAAGAACTTGTAGTGAATCAGTTCCAAGGGCCCGTTCCGGGTGCCTGATATTCTGCTGGCCTGCCTCCCGACGGGGTCTGAAAAGGCGGAGTCAATTACTGTTTCTGATACCCGCCCAATTGCGACTAATTAGTCCAAACATAGCCTTGACTACGCTTATACCATTCCTGAAATGGAAGCGAACAGCATGGCTTGCTTTTCCTTGCTTGTTGTGGCATTCCGCCTGCGAGGCATTTCAGAATCTCTGGCATCTAGACGACCGCCATTGCTGTCTGGCAGCTGCAAAAGTCAGAAGGATTTGCTGCAAGCCTTGCAGCACCTGGATCAGACCAGGCATGGGGCTATCTGGGTTTGTGTTGAAATTGGGATTGGGACTCCCAAAAATTGTCTTACCTTTGACCAACCTAAGAAGGGTACCCGCAGAACAAACCCATTCGTGTATTGAGATTCTACCAAGTTGTACATGGCTATTGATCAAGTGACCTCCTGCGACTAGAGCTGTCCAAGGGTAATCCTTTCGATCCATTTCAATACTCCATCATGATTTATGGGGCCAGTATGGTATGTTAGATGTGTGTGCTGTGCATAAATACTATATAAATATATACATGTTTATGTACATATGCATACCTTATAGCAGTCAGGCATTTATGTAGTGAATAATATATATATATATATATATATATACATATACATATACATATACATATACATGCACATATGTATACAAACAATATAGTTTATGCACATCGATCTATACATGTACTGTCCACCCTCATGGACCAAGGTCCATGAATATAGTGGCCGTCAGTTTAAGCATATCTCTGCCGATGTATACATCTTCCTTCAGCTCTTTAGACGTAGCTGCCGAGCTTCGAATCTCTAAAGTTCCAGAGAGGAATTGAAGGATATCACAAACGTTCTCGAAATCTTCAACCTGACTGACCTTCAAAGCCTTAGCCTTTGACACGACAAACACGTGACGTGACGCCAGAGTCACTCTGGAATCAGATTTCCAGATTCCATATTCCCCAGGCAAGTCGGTCAGAATCTTGAGAGGTTTGGAGTCTGGAGTCATTCCAGCATTCTGGAGCTTTGTAGCTCAGGGTTGAAGACTGTGAACATGTTTCCGGGGCAAGAGATTCTTTTTGGAGCTCGAGCTGAATCTATTTGCGGCAGAATCCACCTTTTAAACACATCGCCGCTTCACGCATGATTGGAAAGATTTGAAACCTGTACAAGGTGATTCCAGCATGGCTCAGTGTCAATGTGTCCCATAATTGCTGTTGAAAGACTTCATCACACGATTCAGCATGCAACATGTGTGCATGTTCAAGAGAACAATCTAGAATTACCATTTTCTGAGTAGAGCTATGGCACTTTTGCGCTTTTCCGAGGGGCTTCCTTAAAGGACAGTGTGCCTCCATTGCTGGAGGGCTTCCTACGCAGGAGCAATTGTTTGTATTGGTTTGGCACATTGGACTATCCAAGCAAGAACAAGCTGGTCCATCGGGTCAGTGGCATGCATCTATGATCCACAGGCACGTATGCATACATAGTTGAGCCAGGCCCCAAATGTCAGCAGCCAGTACATGTTCAGTTCGAAGCCTGGATTTGGCAAAAAAAAGACGGGCTTTGCGCACAGGGGCCGTCACCTCCTGCTGCTGGATGACCGTTCAGGGGCAATACGGGGGAGCCCTCAGGTGCGACATCTTCTGAAGCTTGGCAGAAAAGTAGGCAGGCCCCACACTCTGTTAAATTGATTCATGGCAACTCGCGAGCTTGTAAAGTCTTGCGAGCTTGACCCGTTTGGCTTGGTGCATCATAGCAAGTCGCTCAAGTGGGATAAGCCTCGGTTGCAGAATCTTGTCTTTGGTCGCAAGCTCTAAATCAGGCTTCTTCCAAGTTTCCCCAGTTGAACCCTCCATCCTCGCTGAATCCTGAATTTATCCAATACAACCTTTCTTGTCAACCCCTGGACTGCTAAACCCACGCACCGCATCGTTACTTGCCACTTGGGTGCTTGGGCTACGAGACTTGAGATACACCCAGATAAGCTAAATCCACACTCAAAAAGCTCCCCCCCGTCCAGGTTAGCGGTAAATCTGAGCACCTGATTCACGCTTCAGTGGAGTCAAACAGCGCCCGGCTGAGCTTGATTCAAAAGGAAACTCGGAATTGTTGTCAATTCGTTGTTTTTCAATGGGGGAGCACTAACAGCGGGTGGTGTCCTTTTGATATTGCTTTCTCTTTGAAGATAGCCAAAAGGAAGTTCTTTGCATTGTTGTCAGCTTGCGCCTTCAAAACTCTGCGATTTTGACAGCGCATTCCCAAGGAGCAGTATGCTGGAGACAGCACCCTGGTAGCAACAGTCCTGGGAGCTCAGCAGAAAGACGATTTGATTTGTAGCTATATGCAGATTCAGTAGTTCCCAAAGCCCCTGTTTTCCTTGTTAGAAGTTTCAACAAGCAGGTTTGGCGGGGGTTGGAGGGGAGGCCTCTATAAATCTTTAAACCAACATTCGACGGGCTTTGGGCGCTGCTGATGCAAGATTCGGTCCATTCACCGGGAGTTTATCCATTTGGAAGGGACATGAACTCACTAAATGTCCCACAAAATTCAGGGGACCTATCATCGTGTCCTTCAAGGGAAAAACGTAGTCTTGACCCTGGCTCGCCATGCGCCATGTGCTGAGGCAAAGAAGATGAGTGACTTGGCTGCCAAGATCAGCAATTGGCAAGCTGAACATGAAATGGTTATGGGAGTCGAAATGGTGGACCCCGCTTTTAGTAAAGGGACACAATGGGAAACCAACGTTTTTGGCGGACTCCTATTTTGAGAAACCCGCATATCAATAGAAATGTGTGGACAAGGGTGTGTCTTGAGCTGGGGGACATGTAGACTTTTAGAAAGCCAGCGAAAGGAAGTCAAGACATGAGTTCGCACGTTCCAAGGTCTAGTCATTTGCTCCAGGGAGCAGCTCTACGAGCCATTGGGGCATTGCAAGTGCGTAAATCTACCCTTGAGTGCATTGACGGAGATGCAGTGCGGAACCCAGCTTCTCTTGTGCATTCTTGCTCAGAGCAGTGGAAATTGTCAGCTGACCAGAGCTGGCATTACGCTCTGGTTTGGCAAGATTCGCCACAAACAAGTGTCGTATTGTTCTGAACCAGCGAGCAGGCAACCATGTAAGATAATCGTCTCCACATCCCTTTGATATTTATACATGTTATGAGAGGATGACCCACCATGTGCGTCACAATCCAAAAACACATCCGCTCACGTTCTGGATGAATGGAGAGGCCGCCATAATGCACAATATATCCTAAACACATGGACAGCCCACTATGTGTCGTAAACAAACACATTTGTTTGTGTTTAAGTAGGCGGGCCGCGAGTTTGGTTCTAGGTTTGGCGGGCCGGGTCGATCGGACGGTCGGCCACCCTAAACCACCACTAAACCCACCCGAAGCCACAACTAAACCAACCTTAAACCAAACCTGACCCACCCTACACCCGCCCTAAAGAAAAGGTGGCACCTGTTGCCCACTCCAAACCAACGTGCAACTCTAAACCGGCCCTAACCCACACAAAGCCAGCTCTAAACCAGCTCTAAACAATCCCTGAGCCCTAAACCAACCCTAAACCAACCCTAAACCCACCCAAACCACCCTAAACCCGCTTGTACGGACCCTGAACCCACCCTAAACCAACCCCTCAACCCATCCTCAAGAAAGCACCTAGCAGACCCGTATACAAACCCTGAACCCGCTTGAAACCGCCCTAAAGACCGAAGACAACCCTTATACCAACCCTTTAGTCACCCGAAACTAAACCATCCCCTAAACCAACTCTAAACCCACATAGCTTAGCAAAACATTCCTAAACCACCCTAAGCCTACCCGAAACCAACTTGACTCCCCACGAAACCCAGCCTGAACCACAACTAAGCCCACTCAAAACCTAAACGCACCCTAAACCATTTGTATACCACGCAATACATCCGAAACAAACTCAAGGCAAATTCTATGGATTCCAATCCCACCCGAAACCACCCTAAACCAACCCGAAACCCAGAATACCAGCACTAAAACATGCCTAAAATTGACCAACCTGAAATGAACCCCAAGCAAACCATATACTAAAGCAGCCCTACACAAACCTTTTACCCACCCTAAACGAGCGCTAAACCATCCCCATTCTCTAAACCAAGCCTAAACCCACGCTAAACCCAACCCTAAGCCCACCCCAAACCAGCACTACTCAACCCTAACCCTTCGCTACATAAACCACAAAAATAAACAACAACGCCCAAACCCGCCTAAACAAACCACCCTAAACTCAACCAAAGCTTCTGGTGATGCTGGGGGTGTTGAAAACGCTTTTGGGGGTGTCAAGAAACCGCAAAATACGGCATTTGAGTGCGCGGAACCAAGGAACAAACAGGCCGCCGAACCTTGGGGGAAAACCCTTCCAAAGACAACAGCCATGTGTTGTAATCCGAATGCACATCCTTGTGTGTTCTTGATTATAGGCAAAATCAATTAGCACTCACATGGATTCTTATTATTTATGGCCCTATTATTTCCGAGCACATCTCCAGTGTGAACTGAACTTGAATAGGCGAACTTGCCCCAATTCACCCCCCCTCTCCGGGATTTCAAAAACCTTGTCCCTGGGTTTGAGTCTGGAAATCAAGAATGGACTGCCCAGGTCTGCTCAGCTCTTCCTCAAGCGAGTGCACCGCCCGCTGCGCCCCTGCGACTTAGACCAGGCGGGGCGAGGGGTGGTGAGGGGTGTTTTGATTTGGAAAACTGACCCAGTGGATCCATTTACCTGCATAAAAGGTAAGCAAGGGAACCCTGAAGAAAACAACAAGAAAATAGCTGGATACCTACTAGATGGGAAACTGGATCCACTGGGTGAGAGAAGACCAACGGGATTGGCGTTTGTGGTTCCCAATGATAGAACGCCCCACAGTCTCTTCAAACACCTTGCCCCGAATTGAGGGTTTGGATCGAGAAGACACCCCCAACCTCGAAAACACCAACGCGAATTACAACCCCGCCGCGCCGACCCCCCAGCAATCTACCGAAAGGATTCCATTGGTGTTTTTTTTGGAGGATCTCCTTTTCAGGTTGGTTTAAAAGGCAACCCAAAGTGGAAACACAATTTTGTGGGGTGCCCATTTTGATACAGGTCCATTCATTAGAACCCAATCGCGTCGAACTCGCCCTTAGGCGGCCGGTGGTGGACGCCTTACGAAGACGCAGGACATCCTGCGGAAGCTGGCCGCCCACCCCTTGCTGCAGCAGACCGCCGGGAATCCAGGCCGCGGACATGGCAATCCACACAATGCTCATGGCTAGTCCGGAAAAATATCACGTCGAACAGGGTCAAACATCCTGCGTGTGCGGTTTTTTTCGAGGGAACCTGCTTCAGGGTTAGCCAAAAGGAACCGCAATGGTCCCTTCAGGGTTTCCTGAAAACATGACCAGTTTTTTTGGGTTTCCTGAACAACATGTTCAATTTGGTTGCGTCACAGTCGATGGACGTTTGTTCGTTAATACTTCAGTCCGAGACAACAGGAACGAGGGTTTGCCTTTGCCCGCGTTTTGACAAACAAAAAGACCCCCAACCATCGGTTAGCTGTCGCTATTGTCCATGTCGAAGGTGGCCGGAGGAAGCCGGCAGTTTAGGGAAAGGTTTGGACACAGGCCAAATTTAATATATTGAATATGAGATCTGTATCGTGGGGTATTTGCAAGCTTTGGCTCTGGCCAGAAACAAAAGCGATCGCATGCGCAGGTCGAGTCAATGCTGTGTGTCAACGTGTGACGCCGCAGCTGCGATCGTTGTGGGATCTTTGCTCCTGGCAGCGGCTGGAGGTGCGAACTATGTCATTTGAAGAAACTGAAACTTGCAGCCTAGCGCGGCGCATGTCCGAAGATGCAATGGACTCAACGCTGCTCACTCGAAAAATGTCCATCGATGGAGCGCCCTTGGCGCGAATGATGTCAATGGACGAAACACCGCTGGCTCGGATGATGTCTGTAGACGAGATGCAGGCCACGGAGGACGGTATCGACCATTTCTAGGTGTCAGCTCAATGCAGTTTCTTTGTGCAAGTCAAGAGTTCTATCAGGGTAAACTCGCATGACTGAACCAGCTTCCAGAAGCTGCAAATCATTGGGCACTGCCCGGGTTGGTGTAGCGTGCTGACACCTGTGTCAAGAATTCGACTGCTCTGGTGGCTTTTTGCCTTTGACCTAGCATTTATCCGCTGAAGGATGCTTTGAGGTGACATGATGTGTTGAAAGACATGCCATTGTGGTCCCGTGCTTTTCGCTGTGATTCCCCTCTTAAGACCCCAATGTGGTCACCGCACAGGCAAGGCATGCCGTGACGAGCCCTGTCAGCGGAAAGTTTTCATTGCAACAATGTTTTTGTCTGAACAACTTGCGCGCTCCCCTCAACACCTGCACAGAGTGCAACGAGTTCGGGTGATAGAACCACATGCATTCGTTGTGGTGGCCGAACGTTCGTGACAATAAGGTGTGTCTTATGTACTCTTATGTACTTGAGTGACTTGAGTGCCTGAGTGCGAATAGGCCTGAGTGCAACTGTACAGAGTCCTATAGTCAAAGTCAACTCGAGAGCTCTAGGCCTGGTGAGATGGAAAAGTTTCCGAGCAAGAGCTCGCCTGTTCTGTGGGTCGACATGGGGGTCCTAGAATTGTGAGCTGTTTGCAGGGAAGTAAAAGTGAACCAAGCAAGGTAGGGCCCCCTAGGTTTAGACACACGCTGGATGGTCGTCAGCTTTCTTGGGATTCAGCCGTAAAAACCAGAGACTGACCGCTTGCGCATGGTTTGTGTTCTATCTGCCTGTCGGCACTAAGCGTCCCAAGGGTCCCGTTCGTTTTTTATACGTGCTGCGCAACCTCAAACCGCCCCTTTTGACGAGGCCCATTTCGTTGTCACGTACTGTGCAACTTTTGAGGACAGGACCCATGACCATCCCTTGAGGAATAAGGGAGAGGCCATAGCCCCGCGGCCAAGTCGCGGCCATGCATGAGATTGAGGCCAAGGATGCTTCTCGAAGACTTTTCGGAGAAATCTTGGACCCACAGATCCTGGTCTTGCCCATTTTTAGTGTTTGGTTGGTTGAAACAGAAACGGACAGAACTTGTATTTTGGCTAATTCCCTGGTTGACACCATGTTTACAGTGTCGACTGGACTATGTTTACACTGTACTAGTCTTTTAGTTTGTGCCATGATTCACGGTCACTTGTCGACATCGCAACCCAGCTTCAGCTTTTTGACGCTTGGACTGACTAAGCTATTTCTGGACTCTGAATTTGTTGTCGGTGTTAAAGACAATCAACACTACATGCGGTTGATTTAGATTAGTTCAGGTATTTTGTTTAAACAGACGTGTTTCACCGAAAGGTGACCTTTGGCAGGGTCCCCAATTTTAGCGCACATCCCATCTGAGGTGCCACCAGAGCAGCTTGTGTTCCTGAGATGGCCGGCCGACGAGGCGCTTCTTTGAATGGCATTGCTCCATAGGGGCCTAAATCCCTATAGACCCAAAACAAATCGGGGTTCTTTTTGCCCCACTTGTGGGGATTCGGGTTCCAGCCAATGGGCCAGATTTCCCTCTGAAAAATCCTCCCCCTGGTTTGCCCCAGAGACCTTAGGTACTTTCAGCCAGAGCCAAGATGCGATACGTTTTGTCCCCCGAGGATGAACAGACTTCACCTGTACAACCCACAGCCTGGCATGAATGCGGGTCACATGCACGCTGATCCCGTTGTACCGAAGACAGAACCTGACTGCGCGTGTTTGTGTGTTTGTGTGTCTTCATTTGAAGGCACATTCTCGGGTTGCGCCAGGGACAGATCCCAGTTTGGGGCTTTCTCCATCCAATTTAACGGCCATTCTTTGGTTTGGCGTCGCTAGTCCTGCGCGCTAAGGACTAACGCGGTCGATTTTCGGACCCAGGGGTTCCACCATCGACTGGACCTACGGCACACACCACCCAGCCTTACAAACTCTTCTTGCAAGCATAGGCCATACCAGCTTCAGAGCCCATATAGCCCATATGTATGAATCTTTGTTGCGGGTTTCCTTTTCAGGTTGGTTTACAGGAAGCCCAACAGGAAACCCTAGAACACACACCCATCTCCCATTCGACGTCAGGATGTGGCGCAACTGTCGCGCGGCGCCGCGGCGCCACGCCGCGCCTTGGAGCGTGGGGCCCTCGCCGGCGAAGGGTTTGGGGCGGGAGCTAGGTGTTCGACAAGACTTGCTGGTGCTCAGGGGAGGCGGGAACCCCCATAAAACATCCCTTGTGGTTTCCTTCAGGGAATCCCTAGGTTCATTCCCAACACCCTGGGTCATTCCCTACTACCAGCAAGAAAAATGTGGAGCTTGTATGTTATTTTTGGATGGGGGCCTCAGCAGACTAAGCATGTGGATCAGATTGCTTGCACTTGTTTCAGTGTGTTTCTAAAAGATTACAAGGCCCTTCGCAAACTTCGGTTTGCCAAGAAAGCACTTAGGCTGGAAAGGTGGACATCGGGTAAGGTGCCATACTGGAGGAGTGCCGCCCCCCCCTACCCCGCTCATGTGGCCTCAAAAGACGGATGATCACCTGCTGTTTAGCAGGCTGTGGAATTGTTGTACTTTGAGAGGCATTCTTTGTGATACAGGGAATCCCCGTACCAAGGGAATCCCCGTTGAAGTGACATATAATGGGGATGACCCACTTTAGTATCACGAGGGCAAGTGAGTGAGCCAGGGTTTGGGGATCTTTGTACCTGTGGCAGGTTTGTTTAAAGGGACACCAAAAGGAACACGTGGATCCATGTCCATATTCCAACACACGCACACACAGTAGCTCAGGCTTGGACCAGCTGGTGCAGGGTGATGCAGGGTACGAGCTGCCAGGTGCGGAGAGGGGTCGTTGAGGTAGCCCAATTCCTTTATGTTAGGCCAACGCATTTGGTCCTCAGCGGGCTTGGTACCCGGCCCGTTCCGTTCAGGTGGGCCTCCGCTGCCAGCGAGGTGGGGGTTCTGAGCGCGACCCCTCATGAAAAACCCACAGGTGGCACTCTGGAAGAAAGGAATCCCAATATTCCGGGACCCCCCTTGCCCCTTGACAATTGGGGGGTCTATGGACCTCAAAATGAGGAAGTGTCAACAAAGGGGGGGTCCTCCCTCGCGCAGATGCCAATGAAGTCGCCAAGGCTGATTTCCATTGGTTATCAGCTCCAGGTTTGGCATGCATTGGTCTCAAAACCAGGATCACCTTTGCCTGCTAGTGTCATTTATCCAAGCCTGCGCGCCCAGGGATCGCATTTGCTTGCTGGATATGAATGCGCCCAGCTTAGCCCGACGTTCCAGCCCAGTGGGTCCCGAGATTTCCCCCAGCGCCCCCGACCCCTTTTTCCACCCCATGACCTGGGTGCGGGTTCACAACCCCTCATGCTCAGGGCATGAGGGACCGAGTTTCAACTGACACGTCCTTTGTTGTTTTTCTTAGGGTAGGTTTCAGGAGGATCCCAAAGGTTCACTGCCAAACTCCACCCAAATCCCAAAGCTCACCGCAAAGGCCGAAGAAGCCTTGCAGCCAGACGACGTGGCGAAGTTTGACGCCTTTGTCGCTCGCCGGATAGCACATGTTCGGTTTACGGGGACCAAAGGGGAAGAATCCAAGTTTGGGGGTCGGATGGGCTGGGCTTTGGAAAACGGTGATGGAAAAGGCTGAACCCAGGAAAATCGATGGAAAACTGGCTGAGGTGAACATGCACGTTGTCCAGGCAACCCAACAGATTTCAGACGGGGTGATTCATCGAATCAGCCCAAAAAACCGGGGCGTTTGCTTGAGGTCTTTGGCGGCATCTTGGGCAATGTTATCGAGAAGGAGGATGGCAGCTATGGTAGTGATGACCGAACCTCCGAGATACGCGGGCCCCTCAGAGAGGGAGGCTTCCGTATGCCCAGCTCGAACCCAAGGTGGATATTTCAAGCATCGGAGGCCGGTTGCACGCCTGGCCCGCCGGTTTGTTGACCATGTGTGGCTGCAAGCCTGTGGCTTTCGGTGGAGTCGGGATGGATAGCACTCCATCTGGGATAAACCACCTATTGTACATAGTACCAACTGGTGCGAAGTGAATTGTGTCCATCCACATTCTGCCGAGCGCCTGCCTTCGCAGGCACCTGGGACCGTGGCAAATGACCACCGACACTGCAGTGCTGTACACGCAGAAGGCGAGCAAGCAAGTTTCACCTTGAAACGGCGAGCCAAAACAGCGAACCCGGTCTGCAAATGTTGAGGATCTGTTTGAGAGTAGGTAAGCTTTTGTTTCTTCAAGGAAGCCAAAGGAAAAGGAAAGGTCGAACAACCTCGAAGCTTCAGCACCAGGAAGGCAAAGGCTCAAGAATGTGGGAATCAGGGGCTGCGTGTGCATTCGTGCGTGTTTGTGTTTGTGTGTGTGCT